TTTATATTCAAATGAAAGCGGCTTTCTAGTTTGTTCGTATGATGCAACAATGAAGTCGCTAGCACTTTTTACTTCTTTATGGTAAACGTAGCCGTGAAGTCTACGCTGGCCTCCTCTCTCGAAAACTACACGTCAGTTCTTCCAGATCTTGTTAGCACACACACTACCCGAATAGTGCTACAAGAGTCGCAAGGCATTGACCTTGGCCACGTGTTTTTTCTTCTGATGGTTTTCTAGAAATCCCGTAAAAATCCTCAGTTGGTCATAAATATTGAATCCAGACTAATCTAAAATTCGGGTTCAGCATGTCATTTTATGGGTAATTTTCTAAAATTTAGAATTTTTTCCAGAATTTAGTTCTGTTTTGTTAGATTTTGAGCTCTTCCAACACGCTATAAAACGAGTGATATCTGCTAATGCAGATAAGGTCCTCCAGTCAAAAATTCTTTCCGAATGTGAGAGGAGAAAATCTCGTTTGCGGATAGAAATATGCAGCTTTATATGCTCTTTCCAACTAGCAGTATGAGAACGCTTGATAGCATTAGATAAGGTCAGATTTCGCTGTTCTGGTACCCCTAAAAACGCTTCAATTCAGAACTTATAGCCGAGGAAAAACCGTGTTCGAAATAATTTTTCCACGGGGCGACAGGGGTCTTTACATACCTTTAGTAGGACTATCGATTGTATATAGTGAGAGCTTCCTGGCTTTTAGCTCATGTAATACTGGGCGGACCTGTACGGAAGTACGCCATTCTTGTCCTTGATCGACAATGAGCCGGAATCATAGCACACGTCAAAAATTCTCAGTGAGTGTTAATACGCGGTCAGAGAGAGCAGCCTGGTCAATTTTTCGTCTATTTGTATACTAATACCTTTACGTTACTTCATCTCATCCAATGTCGAAATGCTTACCAAAGAAGCGGGATTTCTCTACTATGTCATATTTAAACTTTATCGAGTAAACGCGTAAAACATTCACTGTCAGGAGAATTGACATTTGCGAATACTTATACAATGACAGGTCTATGGTCCTCAGTCGACACCGTACAATATATTTGTACGGGCTCGTATTAGTTATTTTCTCCACTGTTGAGTACACAGCATACAATTCTTTTTCTTGTACGATTCAGCCTCAAGTATTCTGCTGAGTTAGCACTCCTCATTTTTCAACATATTATATACGGCGCCGCTAATTCAGAGTTACGACGCCTCTCAGATTTTCTTCGCTTAGATCGATGGAGTTTGAAGAGCTGCATCTTCCCACTGAAAAAAAATTTACGAATTCCTGCGTTCACACGCAGGAATCTGAAAAAATCCTGTGAATGTTGGATATATACTGCAGGTTTTTACATCACGTTACCTCGCCGAAAACTTTCCTGCAAGTTGGCGAGTATAATTGAGCAGGATTCTTTAACACACTCACTTTTCAGGGTTTTTTTCTGCAGGATCCCGGAGGATTCTTCTCTAGGCACACCATACAGGAACTTTTACATGCGTTCATGCGATATATCTTGCAAATCCTTCACTTTGCATAGCCTGCGGAAGTTTTTCCTTTCTGTTATCACTTGTAATACACAAGGTATCTCAATACACAAACTCTGCAAGGTCCGTAGGATTTTTTCGTGATGATAAAAAGTAGTAGCTTGTGGATTTTGTCCGCCATGTCTATCTTGCGGCATTTTGCAATCTTTTCTCATCAATGTCTGTGCAGGGTGACCGTGGAGGAACTTGTCTGTATTTTTTATTTTTGGAAAGTTAAGTACTTTTGCATCTTTTCTTGTAAAGTCATAAAAACCTTTCTCGTGTCGAATAAACCTCCGGAAAATGTATACCTTAATATTTCTAGCTATAACTATTCAATGTTTTACCGAAGTTTTTAAATTATATACCATTCAACAGAGTATTCAAAGGGATTACTCTCATTTAGTCCCACACTCGTTTCGTCCGGTTTATTTTCTAGCATTCTAGTCATTTTATAACTATTCATTTTTTTTTTCTATCAACTGTATACTAATCAATATTAATATAATTCATTAAGATAATGTAAGAAATTGATAGATGTCTTTATTAGTTACATTTATTATTTTATTTACGAGTTACAATGAAACAGGTAATTTTACAGTATTAACACATTTGCCACATTTAGTTGCAAGTTCAGTTCCAGACAAAGTACCATTTTCATATCGTGTAAAATATTCCTTCAATTTATTATCACAATTGCTGTAAACTTTCACCCTCTCGTTTCGTCAGATCCTTGCCATTGTTTCATTCATGAATATTGTTTCTTTGCAAAAGCTTTTCCATTAAACAGTTAAATTCTATCATGTAGTATGTAAAATGACTTTGTTGAAATTAAATCGGATCCAGGTTTAGAAAAACGAACTAGTCCATATTGATACATATCAACGTATGAATATGCCATGTATCAGTTTCTTAAGTTACCTTAATGAATTATATTAATATTAATTAGTATACAGTTGATAGAAAAAAATGAATAGTCATAAAATGAATAGAATACTAGAAAATAAACGGGACGAAACAAGTATGGAACGAGAGCTAATTAAAAAATACGGGACGAAACGAAAAGATACCGTTCAAAGCTAAAGAAATTTAGAATAGTCTGATATCTCTGCTTTGCTATACATCTTTTTTTCAAAATAGCGGGATTCTAATGACTTTAATTTCTTATTGATGGAAAAAAATAGAATATTCCTGACATAAAACGATCTTTTCAGTTATCTATTAATAGTTTGATTCTGTATACATGAAAATGCGCGTTAAAGTCAAAATATTAAGGTATACGTTTTCTAGAAGTTTATTGGACACAAGAAAAATTTTTATAACTTTATAAGAAAAAAGTACTTAACTTTCCAAATGAAATACAGACAAGTTCCGTCCGCCACGGTCACCCTGGACAGACATTGGTGAGAAAAGATTGTCGGATACTACAGGATAGACATAGAGAACAAAATCGTTTTTCTTTCAGCCAAAAAAATTCTGCCAGATCTTGTAGGAAAAAACTTGTGGATTGAATAAGTCAAAAAGTCTTGCGATGTTTCTTACCTTTACGCAGGATTTTTTCAATGCTGACCCTACATAAACTATGCAGGGTTGTGTCAGGGCTGGCAGTATAAAAATCCTGCGTAAAGGTAAGAAACATCCCCAGATATTTTAATACCGATAACCCGCGGGATCCTGCATGAATTTTGATTATTTTTTTCAGTGGGTTCTGGTGGTCTTTCTAGTCAAAAAGACTTTTGTCTTCATGGGAAATTCACAAAATACCGAAAAGGACGAAAAAACGCATCCTTTACATGAGGCGCCTACCGGTTTTCTACTTTCAGTCTACGATTTTGAAACAAAGTTTTTCAGAATCATTTCTCTCCATTGCTCATTGCTGAAAAATGTCAATAAATATTCATTGTCAATTCAAAGAAGAAATAAGAAGGAATTAATTCAGGGCTTTTCTTGTAAATCCCATGATTTTGCAAAGAAAGATCACGTAGAGTTGGGAGACGTTTCATTTTGATCCTAAGTTCGCGGGCTATAAACATGGTTCATTAAGAAAAGCTTTGGTGGTTTTCCGGAAACTGGCCCCTCGAATAAGCCCGTCTCATGCTGATACTTAAATTCAGTACCCTCGATAACTTATAACCCACTACATTCCATGTCCAAAACGATTTATCACTTGAATATGTTCCCTCTTTAGTCTATGCTTTCATAAGCAAAGCCATGTCCTGAAAGCGTGCGAAAGACCGGTTTCCTAGAAGATATGTAGAAAACTAGTTCGACTCAAAGCAATTTTTTACGTGAGAATAGTAAAAACATTCGTGTACTTCGGAAGATTTCTAGAAAACTTTTTCAGAAATCAATAGGTTTTCTGTTGATTTTTAAAGCGTTTATTGAACTTCATAGTGTTGAGCAGATAATAAAGAGTACATCTTGATATTCTGGCATAACATCATATGAATTTCCGTTAAAAAATTTCAGTTGCGAACAGGTGTCAGAATGTCTAGAACAAATTTTATTACAAAAGGTAGCACTTCACATTAATCCAAGTATAATATTTTATGTGTATAGAAAAGAACTGCATGAAAAAATCACACGTGGATTAATGTGAAGTGCTACCTTTTATAATAAAATTCGTTCTAAACATTCTGATACGTGTTCGCAAGTGAAACCTCGTTTATTCTTTTTTTACACTTGTTACGGCCATTTAAAATGCTTACATCTTATAGTTTGCATCCTAATGTGCTCCTGTAAATCTTATTTAATGCTTCTATTCATACTTTGTTCTTAATCCAACAACTTTCTCTAGATCACTACTTTTTCATCTATTGTGACAAAGTTAATTTTTGTCAACAGTATCTAGAATAGATCTGTTTAAAACTTGTTGTTGTGTTTCTACGTGCTTTTATGTTCACTGTATCCCAACTGGATATATTAAAAGTGTTCATGTGAAGTTCTCATTATCACAGTTAAACGAAATATTAGAGAAGGTAAAAATGCTTTGTTTGTCACTCTTGTTTCGAGAGATCATCGCTGAAACGATCATAACATTAACAGTAAAGAAGTTTTCACTCTGTTTGAACACTCTGATCTGTTCCAACTGATTTAACATGTGTGTTATTGGAGTACACATTGGTTTAAACTATATTTATTATAAGATAAATTTTTTGACGCACCATGCTAAATCGGCGCGCCATTGTATAGCAAGAAGTGCAAGTCACGATGTACGTTACCAATAATACACATTATTTATCATCATATGTGCACAATGACAGAAATTGTGCGCATATCTAGAAAAATTACCAAATGGTAAGATCAATGTCAGAAGACTAAAAGCTACAGAAAAAAGTGAGAAAGACAAAAAGTTTCAACTAATAGATACTTCATCAAACAATCACTAATTATCACAAAAATTAACCGGTATTTATTCACAAGTGGAAAAACAACTAGAAAGAAAAATAATCTCTGAAATAAAGTGTAATCACCGGAACTTAATTCGGTGTTTCTTCTACAGCAGGCGCCGAAAACGGTAATTCAGTCCATTTTGGCGCCAGAACTATGCTTTCTGTGCCATCGTCTTTAATCAGCTTGATCTTTACTGCATCACATTTTAATACACAAATATCACCTGTTTCCGCATGATCGAGAAATTTTTGTATACCACCCAGTTCAGCTCGACATTTATTCTGACCACAGAATGCTTTGCCTTAAAAAGATCAAATCAAAATATGACATACGGTATCATAGGATTTAGAGCGATATCCTACCACTAATACTGATTTCTCTTATTATCTTCGGTTTATCTTTTTGAACGTTTTCAATATTTTCCAAAAAACGTGGGTGACTAACAAAATAACATGTACCACGCTTTTTTAACCATGCCAGTTGTCCAAGAAAATTGCTGCATGAGCGACATAGTATTTCACCATTGAGTGAACACGGCTTTTGAGCAGTTAATCGTGCCAGATCTTTATGCAATGTTTTCACCCAGTCTGACACCAATTGTTTCTAGAATGAGAATAAAATGCTTAAAAGTAGCCACTCACTGTACGATGGATACGATTCACACCTGTTGCTCTAATATCTTTTCTTCGAACTCTTTTGCGTTCACTTTTTTCCAGCTTTCCAAAGCATCCTGCATTTCTTCCTCACGTATACGATTTTGTTTTTCTTTTTCATGATTCTTAGAATCTAAAATATGATGTAAAGTGCGAGGTGCAGTTTCTCACATTGGTAGAAGCTTTTGTTGTATACCTTTGGTTGTGATCAAGTAATATGAGCTATCTGAGGCTCTCGCACGTCCTCTTGCTTGTACAGTGCCAATTTCGTCAGAAACAAACTCGTATCGAATAACATATGAGCACTGAGGAACGTCTAAACCCTCTTGAACAAGATCTATGAGAAAAATGATCAATTTGCAGTAAAATGGTTGATGCTTGAGATAGGCAAAGCTTACCTGTCGAGACTAACACATTGCACGTTCCTGAAGATATTAAATGAATGATCATTTGATTTGTGTACAGGCGTTAAGAGCGACTATTTTTAGAAATTGTTTGAACTCCAGTGCAAAGAAGCTTAGAATTCATTTTTAATCAGTTTTGTGCAAAGTTGTTCCAGACAGGTTGGATCTCGCGGTTGCTGTCATCTTAAACAAGTATCTTAGTATCGAAATCAGATCGCAGACTGAAGCTTGGGTAAGATTGTCGACGATTATTCAATCTCTATAGAGGTTTCATGTGCTTTTTCTCTTGCATACACCAATAAATTTTCATGCCGATCACTGAAAAAGTGTCAAACTTTGTAGGGTTGTGGTTGCTGCTGTTGGTTAACGAAACGTTTTCTTCACTTAAAACTGCGTTCGATAAAGTGTCGCTCAGATGTTTAAATAAACAAAGTCTGCTTAGAATTAGAGTTTTGTAAAAAAAAAGCTCGTGCCTCAAGCGAGTATTCTTTTTATTCGGCGACGGTGCTGGCAACCGATCAGTTTCTATGCTTAACCAAGGAACTAAGCGTGATATTATTAACATTTGTATAGAAGAATTCTCTCTATCTTTTGCATAACTTTCGTCATTCAACGGTCCAAGTTAGATATGCGCCGGTATCGGTATACCGAAAATATCGACTTTTATTAGTACGACCTTTCTGGATTTTTCCATTTGAAATGAGATATTTTAGCGTCTTGAACAGGCAGAACGCCTAAAAAACACCCAGCTGTATATTCTGACCAGGAAGCCTATAGAAGTGATCTCTTCTGTTTCCAGTATTTATACGTCGATTGATAGAGTATGTCGAGTTAGTAAAAAGCCTAAAAGGATTTCGGCCGATGACTCAGCCTTCAAAAGTTATAGTGATTTTTCTAGTTTTTTCTAGGGCAACACGAAAACATTCAAAAATTCATAACTCTATCAAGAAAAGTAGTTAAGAGCTCAAATTTCATAAATGACATGGTTTTGATCGGCATAGAAAACTAACCGAAATTATATAACTTCAGTGTTTTGTAACTTCGGTTATCAAGGAGATCTCTGAAGACCTTAGCATCTAGTCAGCTTGAGAAACCTTTTTTGTTTTCATAAACGAAATTAGACTACAAAACCATGTCCTTTATGAAAGTTTCAACAGTTCTAATAGAAAACTAACGATTTTGGAAGTCATTATATTGTGACCCTGTTCAAAGGGCTAATCTATGGAAAACTTAAAATTCAATAACTCGGGAACAGAACGAGTTGTAAAACTGGAACTTTGTATGAATATTACAGATATATAGAAGAGCTGTGGAAGTAAATTTGAGCTCTTAACCACTTTTCTTGATAGAGTTATGAATTTTTGAATGCTTTCGTGTTGCCCTAGAAAAAACTAGAAAAATCGCTCTAACTTTTGAAAGTTGAGTCATCGACAGAAATCCTTTTAGACTTTTTACTACCTCGATGTACTCTATCGATCGACGTATAAATACTGGAAACAGAAGGGATCACTTCCAAAAGTTTCCTAGTGAGCATAAGCAGATAGAAAAAAAAGAAAATTTTAGCGTTAGAAAGCAAAGCTCTTGTTTCGCGTCCCTGATTCTTTCTGAGGTTCCAGGACGGTAAACCATCTTATTCCAAACGAAAACATCCAAAAAAGCTCAAGTAAAAAATAGTTGGTATTTTTGGTATCGGTATGAAAACCGATGCCGGTGCATACCTAGTCCGAGCAGACTACACAAGATATGTTTTATTCTAGAGAACTGAAACAATTCTCAACCGCCTTTTGTAAAACCGCTTCTATAGTTCGCTACTAAGATATTTCTTTAAGATGGCAAAAATCTTCTTTATGGTACATCTTTTTCGAAGCAACTTAAAATCAAGTGGATTAAATAGCCTGACCGCGAAACTTCTCGTTTACTATCGCATAAAAACAAACAAAACTTCCGTAGGATCTTAACAGTATTAGTGGCGAAAGTTCGTCATTGAACGTTTTTGGGCACAAACAAATTAAATTATTTCTTATCTATATCAAGGGTATCTATTTAGAGAACTTCAGTCAAATCTAAGCTTCAGTGCACTGGACTTTGTCTGATATCCCTGACTGTTAAGGTTCTTTTTACCATCATGAAAATGTTTTAATGTTAAATCTTGTTCTCTGGACGTTTTTCTATAATCGCCACTGTTCTGACCAACCAGATAATCGGGAAAAACAATTTCCTAGCAAGCAAATGTACCATCATTAGAACATTTCGTAATTTGAGTTTCTTTTATACATACTTTCAAATCGGGATGATTTTTCAGAAAATCACAGATGTTTTTAGCATAAAATGTTCGTTGAACCAAAATTAAACCTGAAAAAATATTTCTCTTAGTATTTTTATTAGGCCTGCAAAAGTTCAGCGTTTCTTTTTAGCGTTCTCTTTGAACATAACGCTAAAGCACGTTCGCGTTCCTTGAACGTGAACGCAAATGTTCTGGTGAACATTAACGTTATTTTTATATGAACGGTGTTGATCTTGTGTGGAATGAATAGTATTGCAAACGTTATATAGTAATGTCACCTAGTAGTATACCAAGTGAAACAGCTTTCTCTATTATCAGTTATATTTAGTGAAAAACCAACACTCGTTTGTCCCAACTGGGTTAGGATATCAAAGGAGAACGTATGTAGTTACCGTAATGGTTTTGACCAAGGAACTTCGGTTCCAGTGCCGGAAAAACTAGTCTTCTGGTCAGGAAAGCCGCGATCTGTTCTTGGAAGAATCAGTGTCTTGATCAGAGAATCAAGGGGTATCCTTTTTACATTGTAATAATCTGGTCACTGCTATGAGCAGACCATCTGATCCTTCACTAGAGTTTCTATTGATCAGATAAGACCAAGCAGAACTATATATGTTCTTACTATAGTACAAGAACAGAAGTTTATATTTACTTCAGACGATATGAACACCGTTCGTATAAAAAAAGCTTATGTCCATCCACCAAGTGCTTTAACGTTCACATTCAAGGAACCCGAACGTATTCAGCCTTCACGTTCAAGGAATGAAACGTGAACTTTAGCAGGCCTAATCTTTATTAATAAGAACTCAAACAACAAATACCTCTATTATTATTTTTTATTGCATGTTGTTTTATCAGCTCAATCAACAGATCTAATTTTGGTTGTGATGGAACTTTTCCCGGTAACTTGAATTTTTCTAATTTAATCTTAAACAGAGCTTTACATCTATTATAAATTTCTGTATCCAATGCAATTGGTTCTTTTCTTCTTCTATACAAATTTTCAACAGAATCATTCAAATAATTTATAACTAAATCGGATGGTAAATCGTGTAACGCTTGGATACGTTTCATTAATAAAATTACGTATGCTAACATAATAACTAACTCAAAATTTTGATTTTTTTGTGCTGTTTGTAGTAGTTGAACAAGATTTTGTTCATAGCCGTCAGAATCCACATCTTTGTCTGGTAGTACTTTGGATGGATTACAATGAATAAATATACTAAGAACTAAGTCTTTCATATCTTTAAGCAACTTTTTATCGACAAGATCATCGTTAATCACCAATATTTTGTCTTCAGTTGGACAACTTATTCGTTCTTTTAGTTCCTGTTCGTTTTCTTGTTTTGTTACTGCACAGATTGTTCGAGAATCTAATGTAGCACATAAAACAATCAGATTATGAATAACAGGTTCATCTGATGAACCGCGAAGTCCGATGGATGCGGTTAGACCAATAATTACAGGCGGTTGTATAATTTTTGATATTTTTGGAAACTCCTGCCAGCATAATAAATACTGCATTATTTGACAATAAGGATGTTGTTTCACACTATTGTGACATTCATCAAATATCATTACATCAACATCGTTCAATGATATCGCACCAGCTTTTAAACAATTCACCAGTTTTTGTGGTGTACAAACGATTACATCATGACTGTGAATATAGTGCTTAACGTCGCTCGTATCATCACACATTGTCACACGTAAGTTTTGAACTGTACGTAATGCATCAGCTTGTTGCCGAAGAATCGAACGTTTCGGAACAAAAAAGAACGATAAAAACTTCACTGGAGTTGTTTTCATTTGTTTGTTGTTTTCATTTTTATTGTTTATTATTATTGTTTTCATTTTTTTAATAAAATAATATTTGAGTAATATGGCAGCTACATATGTTTTACCTGCACCGGTACGAAGGCAAACTAATGTATTTTGAGCTTGAATCGCCTTTTGAATTAATTCAATTTGATAATTGTATGGAAGTATTTTAAGGTTTATTTGCTGCAAAAACTCATTAGACCACACATCAGATTCAAACAATTTTAGATCTATTTCAGTATAATTCAGTGGTGGTTCAGTCGAATCGCTAAATCCTGTAATATCAACAATAGATGGTTCTGATTGTTCTTCTTGCGCATCTTGGAAAGGTAAATCTTCATCGTCTAGAAAAGATTGGAAGTGTAGTATTTGAGCTTTAAGGACAAAGTAGTAAAAGGAGAATAAACGTTAGGGCGAATTGTCATCTCAAATATTTTTCAGTTTTTGAGTGGTATATGTTTTTCGAACGTATTACTTTGTATTTATGTAGCTCTGGCTCTTCGTAAATTGAATTACTGATCATGTTGTTTTGTATAGTTATCCCGGGAAAAAATGTTTATTGAATTTTTAGATCGATTACGCAAAACGTCTTAATTAATATATGTATCAAAATATGCGTTACTTCCCGAACACCGTACACTTTTAATTAATTTCAAATTGAGATCTTCAAAGCACTATATATATATACAATGAGTACACTATATATATATATACTCATTGTGCAGCACTTACATCTCAGTCAATTGTATAATAGACTCACGAGAGAACCTCAAATGTTCCCTCGTTTTTTTAACGAAATGTAGTAGGTCATAGATAATCGACCATGCTGATTTCGAATATGATATTCATTTGGGCCCATAGGCTGTTCCTAGCCTTTTTCTGATAAACCAGTTTTCCAGAAACGTCGAAAAATTCCTAAAACCTTTTCTAAACAAGTCACAGTTGTAACGCGCGAAATTCTGTTCAAAATGAGACATCTCCCAGCTCTACACGACCTTTCTATGCAAAGTTATGGAGTTCACAAGAAAAGCCTTAAACTCATTTTTCCCTTTTCTTTCTATAGCTCTGAGGTGACAATGAACATTTAGGGCTTTTCTTGTAAACTCGATAACTTTGCAAAGAAAGGTCGTGTAGAGTTAGGAAATGTCTTATTTTGATTTCGCGCGTTACAATTGTGACTTATTTAGAAAAACGTTTAGGGGTTTTTCGACGTTTCTGGAAAACTGGTTTACCAGAAAAAGGCTAGGAATAGCCTACGGGCCCAAATGAATATCATATTTGAAATCAGCATGGTCGATTATCTATAACCTACTACATTTCGTTGAAAACATTCGAGTCTCAATATCTCAAGGCAGGAAAGTTCATTAGCACGTATCCATTTCGTACTACTATGACAATGGGCTACAAGTGTGGCAAGTTTGAAATCAAAATTCGAAAGTCGAATTTTGCTCGAAATCTAAGCTCTATAGGCAAAAACTGACTAAAAATTCACTGTCTCAGCAACAAAGCATCATGGGCACGAACCAAGTTGGGGCATTTCACTACTCGTTAGGGCCTTTCTAACAAAAATAGTCCCAACCCAGATTTTTAGCCTATTGTCTGAGATTCAGTAGTTAATTTTTCGGTTACGTAGAAAGGTAGAAAATTTTGTGCTCTATTGATCTCACCCATTTACGACTTCATACAATGTTTTCGCTACATCAACTGGACGCATAATTAGTTCTCAATCGGCTTTTCAACTGTATCAAACTAAATTAATTTAATTAATGGTTTTAACTGAGAAACTTTGTTTATACATCAAAAGATGTAGAATTTAATTCTGTGTAAGACAGGAAGACTAAAATTATGGATTCAGCACGTTTTACTGCTTTTATAGCCCAAAAACTAAAGCCTGTAAAGAACAGGGTCAAAAGTTAGGTTGTTTCAGGTTTATCAGTTTATTGCACAGAAAATTTTTCCTAGAAGAATTAACTGCCAAATTTCGAAAAATATATGAGGAGATGCAGAATTTTCCGGTGAGTCTTCTGATGTTTTCAAAATTCTTATGAAATATGTTTTTGAATCAAGGCAAATATTTTTCAATTTGCGGTGTGTCGCAGTCCGACAACTCAACACCATTCGAAATATTGAATGGTACTCAAACGAGAAAAATGCTATTAGATATTGAAGTAGCAGGTTTTGTAGAGAATTCAATTCTTTATCGACTGAGCTTAGAACGAACTCTTTGAATTATTGAGCAGTGTCTCGAAAACAACGAATGAAAGTGTCCCATTTTATCTGGGCTACCCGATATATAATTCATTATGCTGCGTAGGATGAAGTTTTTTTGTGAATTTGTTAAAATGCTTCCTTTATTCAAAAAACACTTTTTTGATATCTCTCGTATGAACAATAATTGGGATACTATGGATTTCACATCGACTTCTTTGAGTAAAATAGAAATGTCTAAAGAGTCAAAATCTTCATATATTTAATTCCTATGACTACAGAACGAAGAAACCGATCGTTTGATCAAAAGTATTGCAGATGAAAATTGATGTAGTGCCTTTCATCTGTTTTATGTCGCATAAAATGAATCAATAAGTAAAGATCAGATTAACGTTGTTGAAGTAGTTACCGCATTTACGAAGCGAATCTGCGTCTTGATCCATAATCAGTTCATTTAAAACACTGATAGTAGTAGACACCGGGTGTCGAGTCATCAATCGGTCAGAATTTTCTTCTAATTTTTCAGCCGAAGCAATTGGAGGTGATGTCGAAACTGGTTCTGAAATTTTATCTGGAATAGAAAGTGGAAGGTGAAGTTTCTTTTCGTTTTTTTTCCAGTTTCCTAATACGTTACGTGATGCATGTTCCATCACTTTGAAAGCTAAATCGACACGTTTGATGCCTTCCAGGTTGTTAATCAAATATGTAACATTATCCGCTCCAATTTTTTGTCGTTCATATAAAATTCGAAAAATATCAATCAAAGTTTGACCATCCTTTTTTGTAACGTCCTTTTTAATTAAAAAACAAAACTTTTTGATATCCTCTTCATCCATTTCATCTGCTATGTCGAGTAATAATTTACGAAATTGATCGTCTGGCTGCATTATTTTTTCCATTATGAAAATATCTTGTAATAATTGATACAAAACGAAACATAAACAAATAAGATTTTTCTATTGACCATTCACAGCAATTCACTTGATACTTCTTTATCGAATGTTCACCATATCAGCGACTACTAAGTGGCATTTTTTTATATCTACAAGACATCCCAATTCGAACAGAAATGTGCATAACTAATCAAAATAAACATGTCAGGTAACGATCTATTAACCTTATTGACAAAATTACGCTTTTCAAACAGTCTAGGGATAGGCACGCAGGACACGTGTCCATTCCTTGGGATTCCACTACAGTGTATATCTGATTAAAATAATATTCGAAGACTAACATTTTAAATGAAAATTCAGACTAGTAAAGATGGAATTTTTTCTAGATGCCCACCCCTTACCAAAATTCTGGTTACGGTCTTGTATAGGTCACTGCAATCGAAATCTCACTCTAAGCTTTTGCTTTCGTACTCAGTTCTTGCAGAAAATATACTTTTCAAGCAGTTTAACACAAAAGAAACGCGTACACTCGCACGTGCAAAATATTATACAGATTTTGATATTTTTCCCTTAACTTTAGTCAATAGTCTTACAAAATGGTTGCGTTGCCTTGACTCTCGCCTAGGGTATTATAAAATGCTATTGCTTTTGCGTTCTGTCTATCCGCAAAACGTGGAATAATAGTTCATAGGCTGATCAATGAGCACATTAGCAATATATTAATACACATGAGAGAAAAAATGCTATGCAAAGAAAAGTAAGACAAAAATGAAATTCCGAACAAAAAAGAAATTTGTAGAAACCCAAACTATTTTATGAGCTGCAAGAAAGATGTCGCACGAAACCGGTCAACTATAGTGAAGGAACCACTGAGCAACGAAGTTTACGTGGAGTTAAAGGTACAAGATGTGTTGAACTGAAAATCAAATTGGACCAAGTAGAATTCAGATAAATGTTGGGAAATTAAATTTGCTAGATAATTGTCTCTAGATTGAACTGAAGAAAATGCTTTTTTCACAACAAAAGTTACCAATAACACTTTTTACACTACTTTTTCCTGATTTTTGCTATGAAAAACTTTTTTCTACAGTTCATTATCTGGCAAATTTAATTTGTCCACTTTTATTTGCTGTATTTGACCTGGCCCGATCTGATTTTCAAGATGAAAAACTGTATTTACGATTTTGCACTAGGAAGGTCGGTTTCTAGAAATACAGCTCTACTAAATATTTTTTAGACAAACAATGTGCAAGACTCGACCCGCAGAAATCGTTCCTTCGTGGAAAAAGTAGGAGTTTATTATATTGCTAGGGATAAAAGAGAAAAGCCACCACTTGTCCGTAACAAGAACACAACTGCCACTGGTTCCTTCTTATGCAATGACTACTCATAAGAGCCAAGGATAAGCAATGCCTAAGATCGTACTTGATTTGGTATTCCTTGGAAAACCGAAATCGGCTGTCGCATAACCGTATGTTTCCTTATCTCTTGTCAAATAATTAAAAGACCTGGTCATTGTGCGTAAATTTCGTATTTCTAGTTTACGAAATAAACGAAGCGA